TTGGTTCTCCTGATCCTGGCCACACCTCTGTAAATAATCTATTAAACTCCTTTCAGTTATACCCTGTGTGCCATTTGTTTCCTATGGAGACACTGACTGATACTGTACATCAGCAAAAAAAAAAAAAAAAGGTTTTGAACTAGCTCATCTCTAAAGTCCCTTGAGTCTCGTGTTCTACGATTTTTATGAGTCAAGTATACAGTTGGCACTTAACTAAAGACTTTGGACAAATTAGGGGCTTCCTTTCAGTCAAGATTCCATCTTACTACAGCAAAGAAACTCTCCAAACAATTATGCTCAGCCCCTAGAAAATATAAGAATTGTCAGTACAACTTAGACTAGCATGGAAAACTAGGATATACGTATTGTTCCCTTTAGGCAATGGAGTCAGATAGTTCGGGTAAAGTACATTTGTTTTTGTTTTTGTTTTTATAATTTCTAAAAAATTGAGGTATAATTGGCATATATTATATTAGTTTTAGGTGTACGACATAATGATTCAATATTTGTGTATATTATGAAATGAAATCACCACAAGTTTGGTTAATATCCATCACCATACATAGTTATACAATTTTTTTTCTTGTGATGAGAACTTTTAAGTTTTACTCTCTTAGAAACTTTCAAATATGTAATATAGTACTATTAACTATAGTCACCATGCTATACATTACATCCCCATAACTTATTTATTTCATAACTGGAAGTTTGTACCTTTTGACTCCCTTCACCCATTTCGCCCACCCCTCATCCTACACCTCTGGCAACCACTAATCTGTTCTCTGTATCTATGAGCTTGGTTTATTTATTTTTATTTAGATACCACATAAAAGTGAAATCATACAGTATTTGTCTTTCTCTGTCTGGCTTGTTTCACTTAGCATAATGCCCTCAAGTCCCATCCATGTTGTCACAAATGGCAAGATTTCATTCTTTTTATGGCTAAATAATATTCCGTTGTATATATATACACCACATCATCTTTACCCATTCATCCATCAATGCTCATAGGCCATTTCCCTATCTTGGTTGTTGTACAAAAGGTTGCAGTGTACATGGAGATGCATGTATCTTTTTGAGTCAGTGTTTTTGTTTTCTTCAAATAAATACAATGCCCAGAATTGGAATTGCTGGACCATATGACAGTTCTATTTTTAATTTTTTTGAGGAACCTCCATACTGTTTTCACAGTGGCTGTATACAAATTTACATTCCCACCAACAGTGTGTAAGGGTTCCCTTTTCTCCACATCCTCACCAACACTTATTATTTCTTATCCTTTTTATCATAGCCTTTCTAACAGATATGAGCTGATACTGCACTGTGGTTTTGATTTGCATTTCCCTGATGGTTAGTGAGGTTGAGTATCTTTTCATGTGCCTTTTGGTCATCTGTATGTCTTCTTGGGGAAACTATCTATTCAGATCCTCTGCCCATTTGTTAATTGGATTATTTGGGTTTTTTGCTATTTAGTTGTATGTGTTCTTTATATATTTTGGATATTGACCCCTCGTCAGATATATTATTTACAAATATTTTCTCCATTCAGTAGCTTCCCTTTCCATTTTGTTGATGGTTTCCTTTGCTGTGCAGAAGCTTTTAAGTTTGATGTCATTCTATTTGTTTTTGTTTGTTTGTTTTTGTTTTGTCTTGTTTGTTTTTTTTTTTTTTGCGGTACGCGGGCCTCTCACTGTTGTGGCCTCTCCCGTTGCGGAGCACAGGCTCCAGACGCGCAGGCTCAGCAGCCATGGCTCACGGGCCTAGCCGCTCCGCGGCATGTGGGATCTTCCTGGACCAGGGCATGAACCCGTGTCCCCTGCATCGGCAGGCGGACTCTCAACCACTGCGCCACCAGGGAAGCCCGTCTTGTTTGCTTTTATTGCCTTTGCTTTTGCTGTCAAATCCAAAAAAAATCACCACCAAGACCAATGTCAAGGAGATTGCCACCTACGTTTTCTTCTGGTTATGGTTTCAGGTCTTACATTCACCTCTTTAATGCATTTTGAGTTAATTTTTGTGTATGGTATAGGACAGTGGTCCAGTTTCTGCATGTGACATCCAGTTTTTCCAACACCATTTACTGAAGAGACTGTCCTTTACCCATTATGTATTCTTGGCTCCTCTGTTGTAAATTAATTGACTGTATATGCATGGGTTTTTTTCTGGGCTCTCTATTCTGTTCCATTGATGTATGTGTCCAATACATCAAATCCAATACATTTGCTATTTTTGACTTTGAAACACAGAGACAGCCAGAATTAATTCCAAAGGTTCAATGTTTCTTTTTCTTTATCTTTTCTTCTTTTCCCTTAAATATTCTACCATCAGAAAGCCAGAAAAATGCAAAAAATAAATCTCACCAATCCTCCCTTTAAAAAGAAATGAATTCCTTGACCGCAGCCCCAACAACAAACACCAGATTATCTCTTTTTCCAGGCATATCTAGACTTTTTGTATCACTGAAATTTTCTACTTTCTCACCTCTCATAAACCCTTCAATCCATTCCTATTTTAAACTGCTTTTGCCAAAGTTTTCTTCAACTTTTTTGATGCTGAAATCAATGGATATTTCTTATCCTCATCTTACTTAACCTCTCAGCAGCATTTGACACCACTGCTACTCCTTTCATGAAATATTCTTTTGTCTTTGCTGTTGTCCATCCTTTCTAGTTTTCCTCCTATCTGATTACTCCTCAGTCTCTTCAGGTAGACAACTCTTCTTCTGTCCATCCCTCAAATGTTCATGCTTGTGGAACTTGTCTTATTTATTCTTCCTTAACTTTGTGCCTACATTCTTCCACTGGATGTTCTCCTCCACTCCTATGGCTTCAAAAATCAATTATAGGGCTTCCCTGGTGGCGCAGTGGTTGAGAGTCTGCCTGCCGATGCAGGGAACGCAGGTTCGTGCCCCAGTCCAGGAGGATCCCACATGCCGCAGAGCGGCTGGGCCCGTGAGCCATGGCCGCTGGGCCTGTGCATCCGGAGCCTGTGCTCCGCGGCAGGAGAGGCCATACAGTGAAAGACCCGTGTACCACAAAAAAAAAAACCAATTATATACTAATGACTCTCAAATGGACCACCTCAAGTCCAAATATTACTCCTGGGTTTCAGAGATATTGTTTGTAACTAAATAGTATAACTCCATCAGTGTGCCCACATATTCCTCATACTCAACATTTTGCCTTCCGCTCAAACCTATTTTTTCATCTATATTCCTTATCCCACTGAATCACACCAAGCCAGAGACCTGGGTATAATCCTTGACTCTTTGCTGTCCCACATCCAATCAACAATCAAGTCCTATTGATTCTATCTGAGATGTACCTTAAATCTATCATCTAATTCTCTCCCCATTATCACTGCCACTTCCCTAGAAGTGGCATCTCTCTACTGCTAATACAGTTACCCTCAAATCTAAATTTTATAATACAGCCAGGGTGGTCTTTTTAAAATATAGATATGATTGTGTTTTCCTCTTCCTGAAAGCTACAATGGTTTTACAGACTGCTATCCAGATAAAGTCCAAATTCCTCAACACTGGTTTACAAGGCCCAGCATCTGGTCTCCTACCCTGTCATTCAAATTTAGCTTCAGCTAAATTAAGCCTCTTATATTTCCTCCAACAAGCCATGATCACTCTTACTCTAGATATTTTCACATGATATTTCCTCCGCCTGAAACATGCCTATCCAAAGTTATCAGTGTTATCATGCTGTCAGTATTTCTTGATTAATATCTATTAATCCCTGTCTCAGCTTAGATGTCCTATGTTCTCTAAATGTGGATTAGATCTGCTCCCATAGCACACGACTTATCCACTTATCACACTCTCTTACTGTTGCCTATTGACATGTCTCTATTCCCCTCTTTAGATCATAAGTACTATGAGGGTTAAAACTATACCTATTATATCACCAATGCCTTGAACATTAGCTGGCACAAAGTTGTCACTAGATAAGTAAGGGCTGAATGATGAACAAATGAATAAACAAATAAGCCATCGGATTAAACACAGTGCCAGTGGGAGCAGATTTTACGTAAGGACTTATTTTCCCTTACTTTCTCTCCTCTCAAAAAACAAATAACAACAAATAAGGTACCCTACCTCCAAATGAGCCATTGCTTACAAAGGACTAATTCCTGTATAGTTACACATGACAGCTAAAGAGAATTCTATCTGAGCCTTTGCTTTCTCCTTCATTTTTCTCTTTTCTCTTACATACAAAATTTTCAAAGTGAAAGTTTAAGCAGTCTGAAGACTAAAGCATGTGGCTGACTTTCTCTTGATCTGCCTGAAGCCCAATCTATATTCCTAAACCATCTGTAAACTTGGTAGTGTATGTACATGAGATAAAAAAGGACCTATGATAATATTTTATTTGAACCAGAACACCAAAACATTAATTAAAGCTGAGCACACCTGTTCTGAACTGCAGTCAGAGATTTATGTGAACTTGTAAAGTTGAGGCTTTCTGACCTATTGTAGGATTTATGTCTTCTTTAAATAAGTATTTCCTCTTTGCAGTGCAACAATTTTTTAAAAAGTTTGTTTCAGTGACTAAGTTGTTGGCATAAACAGATATGCTGTTCAGTTCCTTTATTTTCTAGTCTTCACCCTTTTTACCCACTGCTTGTCAAGTATTTACCTGAAGGTTCTGGGTGAAAATAAGTAGGCCCAATTATGAAGCCTAGAATTTCTTTCTCTAAAGCTAATTTGTTAATGAGGTGATCTAAAAAGATAACCATGCATTCAATCTCCCTAGTTAATCTAAGAGCATTTTGATACAGCTCTTCACATGTTTGCTTACTCTTTGGAAGGTACCAACTACCTTGTGGTTTATCACAAGCAGAACTTAAGTTACAATGCATGCCCATGTGTGCAGTCCTTTCAGGTAAGACAAAGTTTTTCAATTAAAGAAAGGTGTTCTAATTTTGAGATTTGGATGCTAATACTTTAGAAAGAAAGGGTTCTGTCAGGCTAACTCATTCAAATTGGTTACCTTGGATAGGTTCATGCCCAGCACTGTGAGTGTCACCAAGCCAGCACAACAGACCAAAGCACTGGAGCTGGAGAGGCCAGAACTCGGTGGGATGTTTCCATCTACCAAGCAATTCATTCCAGTCAAGTCACTAAGACCAAAGTGTTCCTAAGAATAGAAGGAAAAATAGCACTAGTAACTTTGGTTGGATTCAAGGAGTAGCGGAAAGTTCTTTCATTCCTCAGAGAGCAAAAGTCTATCAATGGACTTATTATGCTGCTTATAGAAACAACTTGTGCAATTCAATCTAGCTGAGTCCATACATGACATTTTATTTAATGGCTCTTGGCCACAGGGCACTATAATCTGAAGATTAATTTTTACTTTGTTGAACAAAAAGCTACTGATCGATTTCCTAAAATTGCTTTGAATGATCTTTTTCATGAATATTAATTGATTTGAACAAATATGGAAAAATATTAAACAATTATAATTCAAGTAGCAGGACAAGAAATACACAATTATTAGTGAGGCAGGTTAAATCTCTGTGTAGCACATCCCAACACTCTGTCATTGTAAAAGTCTAACACTAAGCCGTGGTTTGTTTCTATGGAGTATTTTATGGAATACTTTTCTTCAGAGGACCTTCCAAACTTTCTCAGTTCTGTTTTACTTATGGAAAAACCTAGGCACCAGCAGATTAAGAGACTTTCTCAAGATCACATATAGGGAGCTGGAAGTAGGATCCAGGTCTCTGATTTCTGGTTGAGAACTTCTCACTGTGGTCAGAAACCCGGGCCAGCATACTGTCACTGTGATTTAATGTAAGTCAGCTATATGAGGAAATCCAGATTTTTACTAGGGTTTATAGATACAAATTACCCATATGGTAGCTTTCAAGACAGCCAAATTAGAATTCAGCCACAAATGAGAATGCAGACTCTAAACAAAGCAGGGAAATTCTATTTCTACAAATAGGAAAGTCCAAAGAAATAATCAGACTCTGATCTCAAGATGGAAAGCTCTAGGATACTTAGATGAATACCTAGGATGAGGACACTTAGGATGATATCATATCATATCCTTTGTAGTTTAGGATTAAAAATAAATTCAAAAAATTAAAAAATTAAAATAAATTCAGGGCTTCCCTGGTGGCGCAGTGGTTGGGAGTCCGCCTGCCGACACAGGGGACACGGGTTTGTGCCCTGGTCTGGAGGATCCCACATGCCGCGGAGCGGCTGGGCCCGTGAGCCATGGCCGCTGAGCCTGCGCGTCCGGAGCCTGTGCTCCGCAACGGGAGAGGCCACAACAGTGAGAGGCCCGCGTACAGCAAAAAAATAATAATAAAAAATAAATTCAAGGTCATCTCCTCCTCAAGAAAAAGTACCATCATGTTTACAAATTACTCAAACGGCTCAAGACCAAAGTAAAAATACTATTATATTACATAATTATGCATTTCATCATACATATTATTCTTCAGAGAAACTTCAATAAACTAGTTAGAATAACCAAAGTAACAACAAAACTCTGCAAATAAAAGACTGTTTTTTTCCTTTTTATTTTTTTTGTCTTTTTTCCCCTAAGCTGGCAAAACTCATCCACCACAAAAGAAGAGATTCGGTTGGATGTACTTCTCTTCTTGATTTCAAACCATCTAAAAATTTCCTTTCCAGAAATACAAACAAATTATAAACTAAAATACTGCTGTTGCCAATGCCCTTTCGTACAGAACATCCGACAGCTTGTTTAAGAAGAAATCCTTGGAGAACGAACGCTATATATTTAACCATGAACTGATCCACAGGGTGTCTTGAATGTGAATCATACTTACAAACTTATCACGCAATGTTTAAATTAAAATGTACAACAGATTCAAAATGCAAATGGGTTTTGCCAAATTCAGTAATAGTGCTATCCCAAAAGGATAACATGTTCAATTTAATATAAACAGATTATCCTCTGGAACTTTCTAGTATTTGAATTTGAAGGATTCTTAACAGGCTAACATTTAAATTACTTCTCTGCCAAACATTTATTAAACAGACCTGCTTTTGCACATAAGTTGTCAAATCGAAAAGGAAAGCTGTAAGACCTGAAATTCTCAAATACAACACAAAGCAACATTTGTTCTTTAGGTCACTTTATCCATATGCTACAAAAGGCATGTTGCTATAAGGAATATGAAATTGCATTTGCCAAGCAAATGCTTCCAAATACTGTAATTCTCACTAATGCATGTGACAAGCCAAATGATTTGAAGATTTTAAACCTGCCAATAACTTTTCCTGTAAGTTGTTGCCATGTGTCTGGGAGAAAGAAAGGAAGGAAGAGGGGGTGGGTAGGAAGGAAGGAAGAAAGGAAGGAAGGAAGGAAGTCTAAGACCAGAACAATAATTAGAGTACAGGACTATACATCAGAAAACAATACTAAGTTTCCATTTATTTAGTGCCTACTATGTGTCAAGCACTGTGTAATCCTTGCAACAATTCTTTGTTGGGATAATAATAACATCCTTTCACAGATAACAAATCTGAGGCTTAAGAAGTTAAATCAACACAGCAGGGTAGAGCCCAGATTCAAACCCAGGGCTGTCCAGCTCTAAATCGTATTACAATATACACCTATACATCCCTAGAACAAAATGTAAATAATATTACTAGAATGTATCTTTCAAAAGAAAATTTGAACGAAGATTTGAAAACTAGAAAGGTATCTGTCAGATGCACCTGCACCTGCCTTATGAACAGTCACTACAGCCCCCTATGAACACCACCCAGAAACAGTCACATCTACCCAATTCCCTGAAATACATTATTTAGCAAAATAGAACAGAAACATCAGTTAGCCTTGAAAGCAGACAAAAATGATAGAGTAAATAAAATGTCTTGATATAATACACATCATAACCTCAACTGCTAGTAGGTGCCTGATAAACTGATTTACCTGAATTCCTTTAAATCCACATAAGAAATAGTTGGGCCACAGAGGCTTGGTTTTGTCAATCTGGATGTTATTAGCACTAGTACTGAAGTCCCTGCAAAAGCAAAAGACACCGTTAATTCTAGAGGCTTTGCGCTACAGAATCGATGGCTGACTGCTGCCATCTTGTGCCAAGACAATGACACTGAAATTTCATTTTCCATTTACTTCCCATATTCGTACTTCACAGTCTACAAAAACAACAAACATCTCCAGCTGCTAAAAATTAAGAGAAGTTGTAGTGACCTTAATAACTAAACTACTTTCAACTGACCCTTTTTATTTCCTGAAAGGGAGAGGACCCAATATATTTTAGCATAATCTACACCACTTTTTATTTCATGATGGTCCTTATTAAGTTGCTGTAAACCACATAAATGCTTATCCTTTGGGCCTGCTGTTTGGCACACCTCTTACTAGAACAGAAGTACTCAAAGCCTCCTTTCCCCACACTTTCTACCACCCATCAGATTTTACATCTGCACAGTTTAAGAAGGAACAAACAAAACAAATAATGATTCCAATGGATCATAACTCATTGAATAAAATAAGATTCCATGAATCTACACTGATATAAAATAACAAATGAATAAATAGCTAAATGAAGAAGAAGGGAAAGCTATTCCTTAGAGCAAAATGTCAACCAATAGAAGAAATGACGGAAATTGAAAAATCATTATTTGGCAAACTCCATAATTGTTTCAGGAAAGAATCATCAAAGGATGCTAAAACTACTGAGTAAAAATTTGATGAGAAACAAGATATTTATATAAATTTGAAGTACTTCCCCACCAGATACTAACTGCAAAGGGAAAAAAAATAGTAACTTTATGGTAATCTGGCAGACAACTCAACCAAATGATCAAAATTAACAACAGTTAAAGGAACATCCATCATGTGCCTCCTTGATATGATGCCCTGAGGACACATCAGTTGACATGTGGGAATTCTTTATACTATTTTTGTGACTTCCTTGAAAGTCAAAAGTTATTTCAAAATGAAAGATAGTAGGCTTCTAAATCAGCCAAAGGACAAAATATGTGAAATGGGGGGGAATCAATTTAAATGTGAGGAAATAAGTAACATTCCCCATATTGAATGAGTGCTCTTCATATAGTTTACTAAATATCTACTACGTGACAGTCACTGTGGTAGGTGCCTTCCATGCATTATCTTAATAACATGGACATATCATGTCCTAAGAAAAATACTGAATGACCACTTAAGTGTGCAAGGCATTCACAGGAATATAAAGGTAAAAGGCAAAGGGCTTATCTTTTAAGCATATGTAATCTAGCCGAGACAGCATGAACACAAATCATGTTCACATACCACTGTCATGTGATGGTGTGTAATATGAGGTGGGATGCAAGGCCAAGAGGGCATCTTTTGGGCTGCACCCCGCAGGCCTGCAAACCTTGTAGTTGCCCAGCCTGGAGACCGAAAAAAGAGCCTGGAGACAGTGACAGAGACAGCAATGGTTTATTGGATAGGGCATCTTACAGGTCTGCAGCAAAACATCCTGGAGCAACACCCCATTGTGTACGGCAGACAGAAGGCAAGACATGGCAGCAATCTTCGCTACTTGGGGAGAAGGAGGCTACCATTTATAGGTGGAATTGAGGTCAGGCTGGCTCATCAGTTACCAAGGAAACCAGGAGCTGGGGTAGGGGGCAAGCACAGGGGTAGTAACTGATTAAGCTCTATAATTAGGGTACAGGTGAAGCAGGGACTGGTGGAGCAGTGGATGTACAGAGAGCAAGAGAACAGCCATCTTGAATGGCCTGACCACACAGCAATTTCTATAGTCAGCACCCTAGGATGGAAAGGGGAGCCTTTCCTGGAGGCTCAGAGAGGTTTAGTGACTCTCCAGGGACACACACAGTCTGACTCCAGCTCACAAGCACTTTAGTATCACCCACAGGAGTTAAAATTTACTGCCTAGAGTCAACAAAAAGTCAAAGAATTTGGAAAAGTAGAAAAGATTATGTTAGCAAAACTAAATGAGTTCTGTTCCTAGATAAGCAGATCTTGGAAGTCACCACAAAGAAAAGAAAACCAGGAACGAGTCAGGGGACAGGGGTGGTGGTATACTAGGAAAAGTAGAGGAGGGAATTTGCACAAATGTAGGAAGCTAGATGAGAAACATCAAAGCAAAAGCTAAAAAGTGCCAGCCCCTTCAGAATTAGAAACATAGCTTAAAAACCACAACGTGACGCTAATACACATTTATGAGAGTGGATATAATTTAAAAAGACATGTTAGCAAAGATGTGAAGCAACTGGAACTCTCATACACTGGTGGTAGGAATGTAAAATTATACAACCACTTTGGAAAACAGGCAAATTCTTAAAAAGATAACCCGACAGTCCACTCCTGGGTATTTACCAAACGAAACATGTGTCCACACACAGATTTGTATACAAATATTCACAGCAGAATTATTCATAATAGCCAAAAGCTGGAAATGATCTAAATGTCCATCAATGATGAATAAAGAAATTATGCAATGCATGCTAGACAATATGTGGACAATTCTGGGAGGCATGCTGCATTCTTCCTAGGGGTCCAGGTGGAATGAAGCCTACAGCAGGAGCTACCTGCCTTGATAATTCACCTCTGCTTCCCTAACTCAGTCTCCATCCTTTTTTAATACTGCTCCTGGGATCATTTCCCAAACACCTCCTTCCAAGTCTGTTGCAGGCTCTGCTTTTGTGAAAAAAAATGGAATTCCCACATGCACCATGGTGGGAATGTAAAATGAATCTGAGTAAATCAATATGACAAATTATGGGACCCAGTTTTAAAGGTTTAAAATGACACAAAATTATATTTGAGATAATGTAAGGTTTTCTTTAAAGGGTCTGAAATGTACATAAGATATATTCTCAATCATGCAAAATAAATAGAAAAAAAGATCTTTTACAATAAGTTTCATACAAAAGTCAGGAATTTCTATTACCTTGCACAACTTGGTATAGACACACATAAAATACTTGCTGAATGAATGAATATTATTGCTGGCAAACTGTCCAATGAACAATAAGCCAAAAATATAATGTACCAATTATATGCCAAGATCTTTTTTTATAATTAACAAATCAAATCCATCATAATATATTATAAGCGAGTAGGCCTTATCCCAGGAATGCAAAGACAGTTCAACATTAGAAAATCCATTGGTGAGGGAAAGTGGAGGGCGGGGGGGCGGGGGGGGGCAGGGGGGATGAATTGGGAGATTGGGATTGACATGTATACATTAATATGTATAAAATGGATAACTATTAAGAACCTGCTGTATAAAAAAATAAATTTTTTTAAAAAAGAAAATCCATTGGTGTAATTTGTAATATTTTTTTAAACTGATCTTCAATGCTGACTAGACATTTAATAAAATCCAATACCCATTAATGATTTTTTTTAATCTTAACAAACCAAGAATTAAAAACGAAAAAGTATGTCCTTAACTTGATAAAGCATATGTACTAGAAACATACATCTATTATGTTCCAGACACTATGTTTGACACTGAGAGTAGAGCATTGGAGAGGCAACAGTACCTGAAGTCACAGAGCTTACAATCTACTGGGGGATACAGGCAAGTAAGCAGATAATGACAATACAGCATGTTAAGATGCTATGATGAGAGAATTAGAGGGAGCCCTAGTAATATAAGAAAGGCCCCAGCCCTGACTTTGCTAGAGATAGTTAACCTCAAAAGATGATAAATACCTTCTGGGCAAAGACAGAGTTATTTTCATCTTTTTTTTGACCCAGTACCTAAAACAATGTCAGACACAGAGTAAGTCTTCAGTAAATGTTTCTTAAATAAATGAGTAAATGAACAAATATTAAATAGGGAAATTTAGATTCTTTTGTAAGTCAGATACAAATTATCAATAAATTAAGTGATTTATTATAAGTTTGTTATCTCTTAAAGAATTCATTAGGGTACAAATACAAACACACATAGACTCACACACACACACACACACACACACACACACACACACCCCATTACACACAGTAGCAATTCTAAATACTCACGGGTACAAGGGATTGGTATTGGCCAGCTGGAGAACGTGTGTTTTCACAGGTTCCACAGCTATTAACATATCTTGTTCTATAGCCATAGGAAGAACAGAATATCCACAGTAATCTATATGCTCTCCTAGAATAAAGAGAAAGCATTTTTTATCATTGCTAGCATATGAATCTCAAGTAAGTTGACATACAAGAAAAACGACCACAAGGCAGGATTTAACAGGAAATAAAAATACTAAGGGCAGAAAGTAATACAATTTGCTTTCTCTCACTAACATCTGAGCCAGGAACTTTTGCTAGAATAAGTATTATATATTAGTTATTAGTTTCTGTTAATTTTTCAACTTCTTTAAATATTCACAATTTTTTCTACTTTCTAACTCATAATAATCATCTTTGAATATTTATGTTTAGTGACTAGTTATGTGGAGCATCAAGAAATGCATTGTCTCCTTTCTCTGTTGCTCATTTGTATTAACTTTTAAAATATGAACAATGGAAGCCATCAGCACCCTCTCACTTATAATAACATTATGTGAGTCCCACTCTTTTCCTTACTAGCCAATGAACCCAGTAAAGGTGAAGTCTTTATTTATCTTTGTGGCCTAACCAAATGCCGAAGAAATTAGCTTGGCACTGATTAGCTGTGTTAAATGTGCTAGACATAGCTAGGATAAAGAAAAAGCTAGAAAAAAATTTAACCTGCACCATTTTATATATAATAAGCAAATTTAGAAAACAAACTATTCGCTTCTCCTTTTCATTCTAATTCCTCTATATATCACCAGCAGGAATTTTTTTAGCCTATTATACCACAATGTTTTCTCCAAATTACCATTTAAACTGAAGGTTGTTATTCATCAGATTTAAAAACAAAACAACAATTCAAGAAAGACGGGCTAAGCAATCTCACTCATATTTCACCAGGACAGGTTTGTATATGTGATTGTTCTATGGCAGACACTGAGCAACTAAGAAACATAAAATGAATAAAAGACAATTCAACTGCCTAATTACATTTTTAAATAAATATTATTCTACATATTATTACAAGTAGCAAGTCTTTTGTTTCTATATTGATGTGTCCTTTAAAATAAGAAATTAGGGTTGTTTTTTTTTTAATGATTGACAATGACAGATGGAGAAGTGGTTTTCAAAGTTGTCTCTCTCCCAAACTTCCCTCAAAAAGACAATAAAATAAAACAGTGGCTCACAAGTAGAAAACACATATTTAAATTAGCAGAACTGAAATCAAAGAGGAAATCAAGAAATACCTAGAAACAAATGACAATGAAAACACGATGACCCAAAACCTATGGGAGGCAGCAAAAGTGGTTCTAAGAGGGAAGTTTATAGCAATACAATCCTACTTCAAGAAACAAGAAACACCTCAAATAAACAACCTAACCTTACACCTAAAGCAATTAGAAAAAGAAGAGCAAAAAAACCCCAAAGTTAGCAGAAGGAAAGAAATCATAAACATCAGATCAGAAATAAATGAAAAAGAAATGAAGGAGGGCTTCTCTGGTGGCGCAGTGGTTGAGAGTCCGCCTGCTGATGCGGGGGATGCGGGTTCGTGCCCCGGTCCGGGAGGATCCCACGTGCCATAGAGCAGCTGGGCCCGTGAGCCATGGCCACTGGGCCTGTGCGTCTGGAGCCTGTGCTCCACAGTGGGAGAGGCCACAGTGGTGAGAGGCCCGCGTACGGCAAAAAAAAAAAAAAAAAAAAGAAAAGAAATGAAGGAAACAACAGCAAAGATAAATAAAACTAAAAACTGGTTCTTTGAGAAGATAACAAAATTGATAAACCATTAGCCAGGCTCATCAAGAAAAAAAAGGGAGAAGACTCAAATCAATAGAATCAGAAATGAAAAAGGAGAAGTAACAACGGACACTGCAGAAATACAAAGAATCATGAGGGATTACACTACAAGCAACTATATGCCAATAAAATGGACAACCTGGAAGAGATGAACAAATTCTTAGAAAAGCACAACCTTCTGAGACTGAACCAGGAAGAAATAGAAAATATAAACAGACCAATCACAAGCACTGAAATTGAAACTGATTAAAAATCTTCCAACAAACAGAAGCCCAGGACCAGATGGCTTCCCAGGTGAATTCTGTCAAACATTCAGAGAAGCACTAACACCTATCCTTCCCAAACTCTCCCAAAATATAGCAAAGACAGGAACACTCTCAAACTAATTCTACGAGGCCACAATCACCCTGATACCAAAATCAGACAAAGATGTCACAAAAAAAGAAAATTATAGGTCAATATCACTGATGAACATAAATGCAAAAATCCTCAACAAAATACTAGCAAAATCAGACAAAGATGTCACAAAAAAAGAAAACTATAGGCCAATATCACTGATGAACATAAATGCAAAAATCCTCAACAAAATACTAGCAAACAGAATCCAACAGCACATTAAAAGGATCA